ATAGATAGATAGATAGATAGATAGATAGATAGATAGATAGATAGATATTTTCTTAAGTTTTCGCGGGTACTTACATGTATGGCATTCAGCTTTGTTCAGGTATTTTCCCACATCATTGTAGTTGTGCTTTTAAAGTTGTAGCGACATTTCAGCAGAATCTCATCTGCCATCATCAGGCTTCTGTGGCAGATGAGATTCTGCTGAAACGTCGCTACAACTTTAAAAGCACAACTACAATGACGTGGGAAAATACCCGAACAAAGCTGAATGCCATACATGTAAGTACCCGCGAAAACTTAAGAAAACATATATATATTTCATATATATATTCCATGTATATATATTCCATGTATATATATTCCATGTATATATATATTCCATGCATATATATTCCATTATATATATATATATATATATGGAATGAATATATATTTGTTTTCATAGATTTTCATGGGTACAGGTATGCAGGTCTTGGCATGTTTGGGTCTTTTCCCATGTAAGATTGAGATTATCTTGGCAACGTTTCGACGGGGTCCCAGTCCTGAGTAGAGCATATTGTTAGTATCTCAAAACTCTTAGCCAATGGAGAGATGTCTAAGTAGCTTTGGCTAACATGGCCAAGATCTGACCAACTCAACTCGGTATATTGCCCCATTCCCCATTATCTGTGTATTCTTTTTCTTTTGATGTATCCTTTTTAATTAGAATGGTTAAAAATTAATGGCATTTTTCTTCCTATTTTTGAAGTGGAAACTCTTCAAAAGCCATAGTGTAAACCTTACAATATAGTTTAGAAACTGTAAAAAAAAAACCTCTCCAAAACAGACAAAAATCTAAATCTGGACTTCCTCTTTTTTGCTTCACATTTTGAAACACTAGAGATCATCAAGGACACCATCAAATAAAACAAAACTAAAACTAAACTAAAATCTGATTAGGAAGGGCTATCCTTCAAATAATCAGGATGAAAGAATGTTTAGGATGAATAAAAAAGTGGTATTAAAAATTGTCAGAAGACATTTGAAGCATGTAAGTTTAAATACATCCTCCTTCCTTAAATATCTTTCATGTTAAAATATTGTGGAAAATGGGAGACATTATATGCTGGATGTTGTTTAAAAAGTAAACACTACTACCATTCACAAATCTCTGCCATACTTATTATATCAATCCACAGTACATTATAAAGTAAGACATTCTGTTGGAAAACTACTCAATGAATACTTTGCCATTTTTAAATACATTGCCATTTTTCAAACCTGTAAACTTACAGGTTTGATTCAAACAACTTCCCATTATATCTTGTTCAGATTTGTTTTAGTATGTGTCATGAACATATTCAATTATGATTTATTTGATAAACCATGGTTAGATAAACCATGATACTGGGCTGAATGAATCCAGTCATAATATGACATAAAAATAGAAAGTTAATGATGTGCTTTAAAAATCAATGCTAAATTGGCCCGTTGGACTTAAAAGCTTCTGCTATGTAGCTAGATTTGTACTTCCCATAAAATATTTAGCCACTACTTGGACCTTTAAACTGATCTTACAATTATGGAGGCAATAGAATGGAATGGAATGGAACGGAACAGAATGCTGTCTTTGATCTTGTTCATATAGATAGCCAGTCCAGGATATTCAATGTTGAACAATTTGAGTTTAAGGAGAAAACTATTGCCATATGATTGAATAAGGAGATATAAAATTAGTGGTTTTATTAGTGGTTCATTCATAACTACTGTTAGGTATTACACTGTGGTCTTGATAATTACACTGGTTCCTGACATGAGCATCTCTCTTTCAGTTTCTATATGGTTTTCATTTTTCCAATAACATAGGAATCTATATTTCTGTATAAAGCAGAATATTAAATCTGTAAATTTGTAAGATAAAGCCATATTATAACTGAACAAAAGGGAGATCAAACCCCTTTCCCCTCATTATTACTATATCTTTGTGCTATATGAAGCTGACAGCTGTTAATATATTCCTTTAGTAGGATTTTACAATCTGCATCCGTTAAAGTGTTCAAAGTATGTTTTTCTAGTATCATTGCAATATTTTTTTCTTAAAAAATTACATCCAGTATCTTTAGAAGATTTGTGGATTTCGTGCTCTCTTTTGCTCTTTCTCTATATACACACCTATAAACAGACACTGAAAGTCTACGATAGTCAATGAACAAACAACATGTGGATGCTATTATATCCCCAGATTCAGTTAAATGACCCGTGTTTAAGGCATTTTGCCACAGAACTGTTCTCCAAAAGAAAAACAATAAGAGGAGCCTTGAGATGTGTGTGAATAAGTGAAGAATGAGGAGATCTAAAATTAAATCTTAAATAACACATAGATCTCTGGCTGGTTAGTGTGTGGATATAACATTATTTTTGGCACACAGAAGCAAAAGAGCGATCAGCAGATGAGAGATACTTACAACTTCCTAACCAGAACAGGAAGATTTTACTACTTAAATCTCCAACCGGGGCCAAATGGAAAGTTGGCATGGGGAAGGTTTTTATGACCTCAAGTTTTTGTGCAGATGTTGGGCAACTGCTGGAAAGGCATCACCATAGCCAACAGTGAAAGCCTGGAGCCATATTATGAAGGCTTTTTTGTTCTCCGTCACTTCTGTGATGATGAGATCAGGTGACTAGAAATAAAGCTGATGTTTACTGGACTCAAGCCCAAATGCAAGATGAATCTCATAGCACTCATCTTAAAAGTACTATTCATATAGCTATATTCTTCTCCAACTTATGTCAAATCTGCACTAGAGAAGAATTCCCAGTTTACTCATGGAGTTTATGAACTTTCCTTCCTAGTCTCCCAGCTGCAATTCCTTTTCCAATACTTGGCTCAGTTATGGTTCTCTAACTACAGGAAAAAGGAAGACCTTATCTTTTGCAGCTTTTATTCAGTAAACAGGCAAGCAGGGCAGAAAATAAACATGGATTTATACAGGAAAGGGTATTTTTTGAGAGGAAGAAACATCTTAGCCATCCATTTATTTAGAAATAAGGTTTCAGCTCCTAATTTGCCTATCTCAGCTATTCTTATATGCTAACTAAGGTCTTCTCTCTCACCAATGTCTCAGGTTTCCTATCTCACCTGATATCAGTAGAAAAAGCAGACTTTGTTCAAAGATATGTTTACTGGCCCTTGCTCCTTCTTGTCTCCCTTGCAAACATCAAGACAAACATAAATAATAAAGTAGCCGATAAACCAAAATAGCAATGTTCAGTAAACAAACATAATCCCATAAAGTTCAAGTATGAATCATGGGTGACTAGAGATGTTTCAATGAAATATCAGACTGGTCCTTTGAATGTATCTGAAGAAAGCAAGATTGAAAGATCATCCATGAATCCTCTCAAAATAGCTCCTTGAAAGGAAACCGTGCAAGGCCTTGCAAGTGTTGAGTAGATGACATCTTTATTCTCAGCAGAGAATAAAGGAATAAAAGTGGAGACAAAAACCAGGCAATCTCATTTTGTAATCATTATTTTTGAATGTTCAACTTAATCCCTTAGTAGATGTTAAAGACATTCAAACAGCTTAAGCTTAATTTGATACCTGGTGAATTTTACCATCTTGGGACTTAAGAAATCTTAAATAAAGTCTCAAAAATGTATAAATTAAATTTAATTACACAAGCAAGTGTCACATTCACGGGTAACAATGAAGAAGGAAGTGGATATGGGAATAAAGAAAACACTGTTTCATCATATTTGTATAATAAAACAATATTCATTTTTGTGCACATTTTTTCACTGTTATTTATTAGATTTATAAGTAATTGTTCTCAAAACATGTGAAATTACTGCTAACAAAGAGATGAAAATAATAAATCAGATTAAATCTTTCAGCTTTCTATATCATAGGGAAAGAAGGCAAAAAGATAAAATAAATCAAAATACAATAAACTGTAAAATTAAATTTTACGAAGCACTACTTTGAATTTTATTTTTAAAGGAAGTTCCTTTTTGGAAAATACATAAGCTAGCTTCATGGAAGGAATGCTGGTTGGGTGAAATATGATGTTGGTGTCACTTCTAATTTTTTCTTTGGAAGAACTTTTGCATATTTTACTTTGATTACCTCTTTCAAATCATTTTTCATTTTCATAGTCTCTGAAGACATCATGTACCTCACATAACCTTTCATTTGGAGAGCATTGAGGATGCTATCATTCTTCTGACATTATACAGAGAAACTAAATCGTTTTAGTGAAATCAGTTTTTCTTAAGTTAAAATACCTTCAACCGCTAATACGTGTGTGTGTGTGTGTGTGTGTGTGTGTGTGTAGATAAAGAGAAAATATTCCCTAAAAGAGTTGGCTATAGTTCTCGTATATGAAGAGAGATGAAATCTTATATGATATTTTCCATAGATTCTATAGATTTTGTGGTTTCATTTTTTAAATGTCATCTTAATAAAATGTGTGCAGAGGTTGTGTTTTCTTTTGCTTTTGCTTTTAATTTTCCAGTGGCTATTGCCATTCTAGTCATCTTTATTCTTTGCCTGGATATTAGTTTTCAGATGGGAAGTAATTCATATTGCACTGTTAAGTGTCAGGTTATGGCCAAAGCAGAACAGCAGAATGGAGCAGACAGTGGAGAATATCCAGAAATTGATCTGGAGTGTGTTGTTCACTGGGTTTTTGGATGCTAGGGGTACCAGTGGGGATAAGGCTGATAAGAGACAAGCCCCTTTCTTTTTATGTGTGATGTCTTGATATTTTTTGAACCACCTTTCTGTTATATATTGTATATAGTATACATAGTTGTCAGTTGAAGTTCTCATTCTGGTCCTCTGGTCCTTTTTATCTTGATTGGTTGTTTGGCTGATCAGTTTCCTATAAAAGGAGCTCTGTCAGCCAGGGAGTTTCAATTGCCTCACAGGCAGTATTGAATAAAGAGCTATTAGAAATCACTCTGGCCTAGCTTCCGTTCTTTACCCAGAACTTAACACCTTCCCCTGCAGATATTCTAGTTTCAAATCTTGTTCATTTGAAATTCTCTCCATTTTTTAAATTAGGCTCACACAAAAGTTTAACAAGTTTGGTTTGAAATACTTTAGTTTTTTTTTTTTTTAAAAAAAATACTAATCTGAGATATTATCAAGTGGAATAAAACCCTGAACAGGGATTGTTCTACCCTTCTCTTTAAAATCACCGTAAACCAGGAATTGCCCACTGAAGGTGGCAGGGTAGAGATTAGGAACCAATGAAAGAAAGAAGAAAAAATAAGAATAAAAACAAGTAGGGATCTGTGTTGCTGTTTGGAAATTTGGAAATGTTCTGGATTGAAGTACCCTGGGTTTACCTCTGTTACTACAACTCTAGTAGCAGAGCTAGTAAACTTTGTTTTCTAAAATATAGGGGGGAACTTTTTTTTTTTAAATGCCAGATATTTTCATTTGTGAACAGCTTTGTTTTTCTGCTGTTGCTGAGTTTTAATTATTATTATGATTCATTAGATTTATATACCTTACACTTCCCAGTTACTTGAGGGAACACAATATGCTATATTGTTGTTCTTTTATTTTTCTGAGGTTTGTTTTATCATTGAGCAATATTTGTGAGTGAATTGTGATCTACATACACATATTTAAATAATCTTCTGCAGTGTGTTTCCTTCTCTTTCTCTCTCACACACATGTGTGTGTTTTGTGTGTGGGAATAGGAATGGGTCTTTTGCAAAGCCAGATTTTTGAAGACAGGTGATAAGTCAGTACTGGCTGTATTTAACCAGTTTCCTAGGTTGGAAATATGTTTGGGTGGCATACAGTCAGGAAAGTTAGGTTAGATTCAAAGAAATCTTGATCCGTTCCACATGCATAATCTGCACTCTGCTCCAACCCCTGCAACCTATTCATACATGCTAAAACAAACATGTGATGCTGAAATGTCCTTGTTTCCCCAGTCTATTGGAACACAAGATTCTTGAAATGGAAGAAAGGCATAAAGAGGAACTAGATACGTTAAAAGAAGAAAAGGGGAACCTGCAAGTTTTGGTGTCTCGTCAAAGCTACATTATCCAAGAACTTGAGAGGCAACTAAGTAAAGCAACAACCAATAACAGCATTATGCAGAAGCAACAACTTGAACTCATGGACACAGTCCATAGCCTGGTCAGCATTTGTTCCAAAGATGGAGGTAAGATGGTATTCATTTGAAAAATAAACAGGGATAGATAGATTGAATGTCTTTAGTGCAATAAATGACTTTATTCATTCCAGTATATAATTCCCCAAACTAGTTAGTGGAAAAAATAAAAAACAAAAAATGTGCCTTCCTCAGTATTTCCACTACTAATACCAATGGTCTGTGAGGATTGATATTGATGATTGTAGACCAGCAACAGTGGAAGTAGATATATAAGTTCCTCCTGAAGCTTAAGGACTAAAACATTTTGTTTTCCTACATTAAAGTGGTGCATTTTGGGATGGCAGAAGAACAAGCCATTGCTAATGTGTTAATCAGGTCTGGCAGTATGAAATGAGAACATTAGGTGTCAGGTTCCAAAACCAAGGATGATATTGAGATCTTTAGCAGATTTCTGTATTGTTCCTCTTCTATAGAGAGAATTCCCAAATTAAAGCAGACTAGTTTGCACCAAAAAGATATACTATGAGAACTGTTAGGCAGGAACAATCTTCTTTCTCTCACATAAACTATCTAAATTGTATGGTCTTTTGCTGCTCTGGAATGCACTGCATCCCTCCTGAGAACACAAACAACTTTCTATCATATTGGGTGAGGCTTGCTGTTTCTTGAGAAATTATCTATGAATTCTGATCATTTTCAGAGGATTTTTATTTGCCAGGCTTGGGTTGAACATTGAAGTTTGATGCTTACCTTATTGCAGATGGGTATAGATCGTGTGGTCCTTAGCCTTTTGTTCATCTCTATTCTTATTCTGCTACTCATTTGACAAATTGATCCTAACTACAAATTGATCCAGACCAACATGGGCAAACAGTGGAGATCCTGGTGTTGTTGGGGAAAAAATGGCAGCAACTGTAGCTATTCTGGCCAATACTGAAAGATGCTAAGAGTATCTCAAGATGCCTCCTTTCTCTACCCCAGGAATATCAAACTCATGTCATCATGACAGTGTCATGGGATGTATTGAGACTTTTTCCCACTTTGCTAAACTGGGTGTGGGCATGGCCAGCACGTGATGCATCCAGCCCACAGGCCAGGAGTTTGACAGCCCTGACCTAGCCTGATAAAAATTCAGCTCTCTTTTATTAAAGTGCTGCACTCCTCCTGAATCATTTGGGTTGGGTCTGTTGGTATCTCCCAGACCTACAGTAACTTTCACTTTTTGTTTTGTATTGTATTTTAAAACTGTGGTTAAGTTGAATTGAAAAATATTATCTAATTAGCATTTTAAAATAATATTTTCTATAAACTTGATTATTCTACATTATTATAAAGGATGAAGGAGGCATATACCATTTTGAAGTTGAGAAAATATCACTCTTATCCTAATTTCCTTCATAAAGTATCATGAATGGTTGGTTGCAGGAACTGGGCATGGCTACTCTAGTGAAGAGAAAGACCAGGGGAGACATGATAAGCAACGTTCAAAGATCTAAGGGGCTGCCACAGAGAGGAAGGGATCAAGCTATTTCCCAAGACACCCGTAGGCCAGACAAGGAATAACGGATAGAAGCCGATCAAGGAGACATTTTTTTCTAGAAATAAGGAGAAATTTTCTGACAGTGAGAACAATCAACCAATGGAAGAGTTTGCCTTCAGAAGTTGTGGGAGCTTCATCAATGGAGGCTTTCAAGAAGATATTGGACTACCATTTGTCACAAATAGTGTAGGATCTTCTGCTTGGGTGGGGTGGTGGTGGATTAGATAACCTACAAGGTCCCTTCCAACTCTGTTAATCTGTATCTGTAGGTGAGCCAGCAGTAATCTTATTTTTCCACATCTCAGCAAGAGCTTATTTGATCAATGATCAGAACAATAAAAGAAAATTATGACAATGTATGCTAAATTATGATAATGTAGCATAACCTTTTTAAACTGTGTGTGAGAGTCTAACAGCATACTATAAAACAAAACTTACCATGGGCATATTTATTTTTTGTTACAGCAAATCTAATTCTATAGTAATTTGTTTAGATACTTTAATAGCTTTAACACCAAATTTAGCTCCATTAAATGTGATGTTAGACTTATGATCTAATAAGAGAAAAGCAAGATGAAACTTATGATTTTCCTCTTTTGGGAGAGAAATGATTTAAGGGATACTTTGATAATATGCTTAGTGCACAAAACATGTTGGGTGGTTTTTAATCAAGTTTGAATTGTGGTGATAAGTTCTTCTGAAAAAAGGAATTTTAGCTAATCTACAACTGAGAACTGCTGTAGGTAAAACATCGTGCCTGGCTCAGAAAAAGGATTGCTGCTGAGTAGGGGATATAAGTGTGGTTGAAAATCTACGTGATTTCCATCTAGGGTATTTTAAATGCTCCTTGATATGTTTTAAACTAAGTTCATGCTATTGTTCAGCATCAAATAATCTGGCTGTGACAATTTGACGCACTATTTTTTTTATTCTAAAGACAATAGCAGGCTAAGATAGAGGCCCGAAAGAGTACATTTTTTGAGGACTAGTAGATACCAAGAGCTTTGAAACTGATCTGTCAACAATAGAAGGCTCCATCCTGCTGGGGGGAAGAATGGCATTTGAGCCAATAATTAAATATGAGCAGCCATGCCTTTATTTTCAGTGATTATTTTTTCCTACCTAAGGAATGCATTGGATACACATTTTTAATCCATGGAAAATTGATTGCATTAACCTAGTTTGGACCATTTCTAGAGATTTATAATCAGAGAATTGGTCTAAGTATGCTCCATAAAACATCTAGATTACAAACTTTGTCTCAAATAACTGAAATGCAACAAGAATATGTTCTTTGCCTTGGCATGAAAGAAAGACTAGATTGCTCCTTAGCTCTTCAGGGCTAATTGTATCATGTAATCTATATGAGATTTCCAAAAACCAATAGCAGGTAGGATCATCACTAAATATTTCAAACTCTTAAGTTATCCTATTTCACTTCCTGAAATAGTCTGCTTATGTTTTTTAGGATTTTTAGCAAAGACTACTGATGGTTTCATTTTCTGCTAAATAATTTAGTTTTTTAAAAAATTAGTGTTGGGTTGGTCTAAGTCTATTGATATCTCCTTTTGGTTTGCATGTAGTGCTTTTGGACTATATAAGATATGTGAGCCATCTCTGCAGTCCATAAATAAAAACACAGAGACAAATTTTCCAAGAGTCATTGTTATGTTGATCTGGTTCATATATGAGTCATGCTCACTAGCTTCCATTGATGGATGACAAGTTTTGAAATACTACTGGAAATAAATATAATATCCCTTATTCTTTGCAGACCCCAAACAGTCCTATACTGTTACTCTACACCAAAACTCTCAGGCTTTTTCTTGACTCTGATTTGGGATTTCAGACAATCTGGAATCATATATTATTCAATAATAAATACGATATCATCAGGTAGTCAAAAGCAATATGGTCATGGAGAATTAAAATCCTCATGTTATAATTTTGAACAAGGGTGCTCCTGTAGATCATATTTAGCCAATCCACAGTAGGAAGTTATCCAACTTAGCAAGGGAAATGTTGCTCAACTGAAGGAACAGTTGAGTATAGGTCTGTGTATGCTGGGGCCTGCTCAGGGATTTAGCAATAGCTATATTAAGTTATGACTGAATAATAGTTGGGGACCAGATACAACATACTTTCTCTTTAAAAATAGCTATAACAATGTGAAATAGATACAACACAAATATAATTTTATAACATGAATATAGTTCAGTTCAGCACTGACTTGAGAAAAGACCTTTATAAACAATTTCATTGAATTTAAATCATCTAATGGTATAAATGGATGTATTACAGAATAACACTAGACAAGATATATATGCAGAATATTTTACAGTACAGAAGGGTTATCATGCAGTTTGCGGTAAGATCATATATTTTCTTAAGTAACTTTTCAATCCTTATTCTTATTTCAAGTTATTTCAGTGTACTTTTCTGTTATCTTTTCTTGAATAAGCTTTTCTTGAATAATCAAATAATACATTTTCCCCAATTTTCATAAGTAGAATACATGTTTTCAGTTGGATAAACATTACCAATTCTTTAACATAATCTACTCAGTAATCTTTGCAGGATTTTATTGAAGTGACTGCTAATATAACATCAATGTCTTCTGTCTTTAACTCAAATAGCTATCACAATTTTAGTGACAGTTAAATAATTTATACAACAGATAACAGATAATCAGAGTTGGAAGGGACCTTGTAGGTCATCTAGAGCACCCCCCTACCCAAGTGGGAGACCCTACATCATTTCTGACAAATGGCAGTCCAATGTGGTATGCTATGCTATACCACATTGTTATATACATCTTAGGTGTAGGAGAAGCAGAGCCTGGGAGTGGACTTAAGAGAGGAATCAGTCAGAAGTCATTACAATCCCATAAGCAATCTAAGTCCAGCTCCTCTTCAATTCTGTTAACTCATATCTAATGCCAGTTTAGTGCTGATAGTTAAATAGATTCTTGTGTATAGGAATAAGCAATGAATCAGCTTAACTGGAACTTAACACACCATCCTAATTCTTCTAATCTGAAATTAGACAATATCATTCCTAGACATTTCTTAGAATTTAATTGTTGAGATGATTCTAAGGAATAATTGTAATTGTAAGGAATAATTACAATTGTAATTGTAATTAGACTTGATCAGCTATATCACCAACCTATCTTCAATAGAAAATGGGAATCATCTACAAAGTAATTAGTAGAATTGCTACTGAGGCTATTCAAAAGCACAAAGAGACCAATTTATAACTAATTATTTAATTTCCAAATTGACTATCTTCTTCAGGTTAATTAAGTTTCATTCAGCATTTAACAATCCCTACATAATAGTTTTGTTGACTTGGTGGCTTTCCAAATATGTTTAGATTACAGCTTCCAAAATTACTAGCCAATTTTTCCAACTAAGAATGTTATAGTTCTAGTAAAAATGCATCTGATATTACACTGGAGAGAGCTGGAGAGATATACTTATGCCTGTCTTTGTTTTTATAGCTCTTCTGATACCCTGCTTTAAACACTCAAAATCACTAAGAAATTAAATGGCTATGGAACAATTTTGGGCAAAGCATCATGCTGATTATTATGTTGCTTTGAGTGTGTAGTTGGAATTTTCTATTTGAAAATTTGGCCTACTAGAAAAACCAATGTGTCATAGGAATGCCTTTTGAACCAGACTCATCTGAAGTGGGAGAAATTGAAACAGTGACCTGTAATTTTGCTTGAAAACTTTACTCTTGAACAGCTGAAAGTTCCCAGCTGTGTGAAAAGCTTTTTGTGAAAACAAATTCAAAGTGAAATGTACATTTAGTGTGCAATGGAGGCTAGAAAGGTGAATCTTTTGAGAAGATGTATGCAGAAAATTTAAAGAAGTCAGTAAAAACAGGACAGACACAGACATCAGAGGATAATTAGGATTGCAGAAAAAACAATTACTATCAACCTGCCTTCCATAAAGGACCTGTATACTGCACAAATCAAAAATAGGGCTGTGAAAATATTTACAGACCTCTCACATCCCGGACATAAACTGTTTCAACTCCTTCCCTCAAAATGATGCTACAGAGCACTGCACACCAGAACAACTACATACAAGAACAGTTTTTTTTCTGAAAGCCATCACTCTGCTAAACAAATAATTCCCTCAACACTGTCCAACTATTTATAAAGTCTGCACTACTATTACTATTAATCTTCTCATCACTCCTTATCACCCATCCCCTCCCACTTGTGACTGTATGACTGTAACTTTGTCGCTTGTATCCTTACGATTTGTATTGACTGTTTCTTAGTATGATTTGATTGCTTATTGTACCCTATGACTATTATTAAGTGTTGTACCTGATGATTCTTGACTCTTGATGAATATATCTTTTCTTTTATGTATACTGAGAGCATTTGCACCAAGACAAATTCCTTGTGTGCCCAATCACACCTGGCCAATAAAGAATTCTAGTCCAGTAATCCATCTAGCCCAGTAGATATGCATACAAGGAGGTATTTTTCCAGGCTTCAGAAAGCTTTACCTAGCAAGTCCTAGGGCTAAACTTGGGATTGTAAGATTACAAAGCATATCCTTTCTCACTGAGATATGTTTTTCTTTCCTGAATGTCTAATTAATGACGACAGTATTTTTTCCCCCCACAAAAGGATATTCAACATGGAATCTAAGCTAAAGCTACCTGTTGACCAGCAGACGTTTTCTTGGGAAATGCCTGCCGATGGGTGGCTGGTTAGGGCACAGCTGTGGAGCATTTGGCAAGCTGCATTGTGGTTCAATCCAGGTGCAGCGGGAGGAAAGAGACTCTTGGTATAGTAAGCTCTTTGACTTGGTTGGGAAAAAAAAGTGGCTCCATCCTGGAGTAATTACAGGTTGGCATTTTGACAGCAAGGCAAACCTCATTCTTTGTTCACATACTCATACACACAGAGTGTGAATGGAAGGAAAGAAAAAGCATCCGATTTCTGAAAGAACATCAATCGCTTGCAGCTCAGTTTCATGCCAGGTTTGGCGGAAGAAAAGGCACCTGTAAGAAAGCTTTTGTTCCACCACACCATGCTGAGAAACTCATTTGATATAAACACAAAAGGAACAGTGAGACCCTCATCAATCCTCCCCCCACCAACATGTAACCTTTCTTCACAAAGCTGTTATTTAAAAATATTTTAAGAGGTGAGATTTGATCAAGTAAATGTTTTTTCATCCTAGAGAAATATTAACTGTAAAAAAAATAAAGTTTGGTTATTTTGTGTGGCAGTTCGGCAATTTGAATCCCTAGCACCACATAATGGAGTAAGCTCCCATTACTTGTCCCAGTTTCTGCCAACCTAGCAGTTCGAAATAATGTAAAAATGGGAGTAGAAAAATAGGGACCACCTCGGTGGGAAGGTAACAGCGTTCTGTGTGCCTTCGGTGTTTAGTCATGCTGGCCACATGACCATGGAGACATCTTTGTTCAGTGCTGACTCTTTGGCTTTGTAATTGAGATGAGCACCGCCCCCTAGAGTCAGGAATGACTAACATGTATTTGCGAGAAGTTGGCCAAAAGTCATTTGAAAAAAGACAGCAATTGTAGAGACTGGTGTATTCTTTCCTCATGCTGCAGTCCCATGTACATTTCACATTACTTGGCAGCATGAAATAACATAGTGAATACTGGATGATAGGTTTCAGCTTCTGGAGATGTATTAGACTTATGTTGACGGAATAGGAGTAGATGTCCCATTGACTGTAGGCATATATTCTAAGGATGATTTTGCTGTTGTGCATAGTAAATATCTTATGTTTCTGAACCTTAGTGACTTAAGATGTGTGGACTTCAAGTCCCAGAATTCTCCAGACAGCATGGGCAATTCTGGGAATTGAGATTCACACATCTTAAAATTGTTGAGGTTGAGAAATATTGATAAAGAAGGCTGAAGACTGGCTTATCTTATATACACTAAATTCTCTTCTGTGAGCTTTGCTGTAGGTAGCTTGCTATGTATGAACACAAAGCACTAACAGTTTGATTGATTTATTATGTGCCATCAAATCATTGTTGGCTCTTAGCAGCCTCATAGGTTGATTTTCTCCTTTTCAGATTTGTTTTATTAAACAAAACTTGTTATTAAACAAATATTAATAAAAAATAACAATGGTATAAAAAACTTTATTTGATTTATTTGATTTCTATAGCTGCCCATTTCAAACCAGTGAGAAATGCACATTTATCTTTTGATTTTATGAGTATTAACAAACACCACATTGATTTTACATAAATAGTCGCAATCTCTATAATCAGAATTAATAGTTTAGAGTTTTAAGTACCATATGTAATATCAAAATAAAATATCAAAATGAAGGAAAGGACTAGAAATTTCCTCAATCTTTTTTACATTGATCCTATATTGATATAGGATAAAAATAAGTTTGCTACCTACAAAACAATCTCCTCCATCAAGATATACAGGGAGTCAGAGAAAGCAATATGAAAAAAGCGGACTTTTCAACTTTCCCCCATATAACAATAAAAGGTATGTGTAAACAATGTAATTCTCATCCCTCTGAGTTAATATATTTAGGTTTCTTGATCTAGATCTGTATTGCAGTCACTGAGAGTTTCAGGTTAATTTAGATTCTCATATAACTTTAAGTGCAGGTTCTACAGGTTTTTGCACTGATTTTTTTAAAAATGTATACACTATAAAAAGCATTTGTTAGAAACTTTGATTCATAATCAGATAGAAGGATATAACTGAATAAGTACAGGAGCTGTGAGTTATACCAATTTCATCATTAATATATATGTTTACTTAGAAGTAAGTTCTACCAAATGAATTGCAATTAATTTTCAAGATGTAGCTTTTCTGACCATATCCCTCATGTGACGACTAGTCCAGTATCTTCAGCCTGAGATGATGGGGTCCACAGTTGACCTCCCACATGTTTAGAAGTAGCCCCAGGGTTTCTCCAAAGGTTGACTCCAACTTCTGCCACTGTAACTTGCAATTTAATAGAAGGTAGAAAATGTGAAATATGTGTTAAATCATCAGATAAATTGTGTTCAGTATACAGCTCATTAACTTTGAAGTATGGCCGCTAGTGTTTCACTTGAAGGCCTCAAACCATTCTCAGCTTAAAAAGCTTGCACAGTCCAAGTTTAGTTTAAGTTTAACTATAGCTTTAAGACAATTAAAAGGCGAGTCACATTTCTGAGTTGCTCCGCTTCCATGCCTGTCATGTAGAAATGGAATTGAGAAGCTTCTGTTCAGACTATGCTATTGATTTCTGCATCAAGTTGTTGTTGATGTCTAGAAGACTGCCAGGAAAAGTAAACTGGCTAACCTTGTCACTGGAAGAAATGCCACAATTGGTTGAAGATTTGCTGTGGGTTATTACTGCAGATGTCAATATCATATTCATTTTCTGTTTTGCAGTTTTGCTAAAGAATGCAAAAAAGGAAGAGGAGAAGCCATTCAGAGACTGCGCAGATGCTTATCAAGCTGGTTTTAATAAAAGCGGTGTCTACACAATTTATGTTACTAACATATCAGAACCTAAAAAGGTAAAGAAAAGTATGTGTTTCTTTTTAAACATTAAATCCATGCAAATAGATGTTGTGCAAAATTCAGGCAACTAGAATTGGCCTTAGGTAAATACCACTCTGCTTTTCATTCCTGCTGCTGCAGGAAATATGCAGAAATGACTTTCTCCATAGTTCCTTTTTTGCACCCTGTCTTGGGAGACCTGGAAAAATTGCAGAGGTGGAACTGTATGGATGTTGTATCGCTTATGGAAAAAGACTTGAAGATGATTCAAAAGTCACATGTGTGGTTACTGCAGTATAGAAAAATTCAGACCACTATCAGCCTTTTTGTGAGCACCCAAAAGAGGAAAACTTTTTTTTAAAGATTTGCATTTGGGAGTTTAAGAATTAAGACTTAAGAGTTAAACTACAAAATCCCAAAGATTCTAAAGGCACCCTTTATTTTCTTAAACTCCCACAGTGTCATATGAGATACTGAAGTACAGAGAGGCTGGGTTAAGAAAATTTAGCTTTTTACTGTGCCTCAAGTCTTTAGGATAAATTTGGCCTTGTATTCCATCTGTTCATCTTTTTTGCGGCGAAGAATTCACAAGTACATTTATGATAGGCTTTTTAAAGTCCTTGTTTATGTTAATCAAATGCTATATTGGAGGAAAAACCTCCATGCTCAGGGTTTGCTATAAGGCTCTGCACATTACAGTTCAGTTATGTACTTTGTTTCCTATAGAGAAGAGTTTTCTATGTAAGAAAAAGCAAACAAACCATAAAGTGGACTAAAAGAAACTCTCTGGAGACTAGGATAAAGAATGATTTCTTCCAGACTTATTATTCTTTACCACTCCAGCAATCCAACCAATACTCATTGGATTGGAGTCTTACCATGATATTAAGTGAAGCGTGTAGAGCAACCACTCATATAAAAACACTAAAATATTCAGTATAATTTGATCTTCAATAACACAAGAAGTTCTGTCTTTTAAAGGACTAGTGCAAACTAGGGAGTCTTGATACATCAGAGCTCCTTGGATAGTACTTGTTCAAGTTGTTCTCAGCAGCGCTTGCTTCTACTTCTTCACAAATGAAATACTTCAAGTCTTTGGTGAAGATGAGCACTGCATCTCATTACTATTCAATAAAACTGTTCCTTTTTCAGGTTTCTGGGCAGGGGTGTTGAATATGACATATCACAACTTTTTTCTCTTCGCTAAACCAGGAGTGGGCATGCATCCGCCCATGGGCTGTGAGTTTGACATCCCTGTTTCTGGGCAAATGTTTTTTTTTAAAGGGGCACTTGAAACTTCACTTTTAAGGAATCAACTTCTTAATGCAGCTGCAATCTTTCCCCCCTCAAGTTGGCAGAGAATTTTGAAAACAAAAGGAACTGCTTTAATGAAAACCTGCTTCTTTTGAACATGCAGACAGCTGTGGTGCATAAATGAAAGGAGCAAGTTTCCATTTACCATCTTACCAATTTTGACCCCACCCTGTATATGTTCCTGGTCCTGTGACCTTCCTCCCACAGTACCTGAAGTCCTTCCTCCACATCATTTCATAAGTATGCCCAGTGGAAAGAGTCAACCCATTGTCAAAACAGAAAAGCAGAACAATGTGAAATTCTGCCTGTTTCCTTTTCCTTGATGCGTGTGTTCAGATTTCAACCTCAAAACATGCTAAAAGGTGTTTAATGGCTGACTGCCTTGACCTTGTCTGGGATGGGAGCCAGTTAAGGACATTTGCTGGCTTGAATGATGGAAAGCTAATGTTTATAATCACCCTGCCACTCCTGTTACTGTGGCAGGTGTTGCTATTCAGTCCATTGCTATAGGGATGAGCAGACCACACAATGAATAATTTAGTGGTGTAAATCTCACTGTCATTGTGCATTTTTTTTCCTTTCTTTGTAATAATTTTAGTACTCAAAATGCAAAAACTTTAAACTTATGTAGGAAAGGATTTTTTATTTTATTTTAGTTCTGTACATCTTCTATTCCATGTTCTCATCCTAGTTTGTCATAAAGAAGACAAGTACACAAAATGCAATGCATATTTCTCTTCTTTCATCATTGAAACATATACTTTTTACATAGAATACAAAGATTTAATATTTGAAAAACCTTTGTGTTCTGTTGAAGCTTGATAATGCTTGGAAATTACTTGAAAATGCCTGCTATAAATCCAAGACCAATGAAGCCCCAGGCAGTAGGTAAATGTTTGAACTCAAATGCCATAATGAAAGGAAGCCCTAAGCCAAACTATTTCTCCCCTTGGATTTTTGTCCTTTCTTTCTGAAATAAAGTTCACAGTTTTGGAGCACTGTACAAAAGACAATCAGCAGTCTTTGGCTGTATGTGCAAGTATCAAAGACAGACAATAGAATCAAAGTCATGTAATGGAAACAACCAAGCAACCGTGCTATGAGCCATTCATCTTCATGCAAAAGGCATCAGATGGATTCAGCAAAAGATATAATAGCTTGGATTGAAGAAAATCATTCAAAGAAACTGGGTAATGACAACACTTACATTACCAGCAAGCAGATAAATTTGGTTCCCTTTTATGATCCTGCATGAGAATAGACAATACTGTCTTTTAATGAATTGATACAAGCTTTTAAACCTATTGTTAGCTCAACAATAGAGTATAGTCCTTTTTTACATGATCACAATGAGAGTGCTTTAGCACACATTCAGTTATATTATAAGCATTCAAATATATGCATTTGAAAGGAGCACTTACAATTTAACCTGAACCATCCAGCAAAAACTGAAGCTTCATAGAATAGCAGGTGGTTGGAGCTGTTGGCCATAGTAGTGATGGTACTTAATACATATTTTTATATATTACTCAATGTATTCTAATGAATACAACTTGGTCAGTTTTATATTTTGTTGAATAAGAATCAGAATGGAGCAAATACTGTTGCCAAAACTGGCATTTAATAATTTAAATTAATTTAAATTTAATCAGCTTCTAAGCCAATCTCACTGTAGAATGCTGTTATAATAAAACAATTGTGAAGGAAATAAAGCATACATAACATAGCTAGAACCTTGCAATTAAGAAAGGATCACAGAGCACCAATTAAAATGGAAAGAAACATGCCACAAATAAAACATAGAAGGGTCACATCAAATCCATGGGATTTAAAACTTATATGTTAGAGACAGTCAAATTAGGTTAGTGTACAAAACAAACCACATGGATCATTTTTTCCTGTGCATGTTAACAGTTAAGTATTTTTAGTTATTTACAAAATTTTTGTGACATCACAGTGATAAGACTTTAGATCGCTTATAAAAATATGCAATCACAGACTATTATTAAAAGAATAAAAAGTTCAAGTAAATAATAATAATAAATGTAGCAATAACACATGGCAATAGCAACTTTCCCATGAATTATAATCCAAAAACTACCCAAAAGGATTGTTTCCTGAATGGTAATAGAGAAATAGACATACTTAGATTAGCAGGACAAGCTGAGGCAAAAAAACTGAATTTTTGGGTCTTCCCCTGCCGCAGATTCATTCCTTTTGGAGTTGGTGCACAATTTGGGAGTCTTCATGGCCCCTCAGTTCCTGCTTATGAAGCAAGTTATAGCCAAGGCTAAGAAGGCATTGCAATGAATGCATCTTGTATAAAGATCTCCTTAGCCCTTACTTGAACCAGGGAATCCTACAGATAGTCTCTCAGTCACCTATAAAAGGACTATTATAATTCGCTGCCCTTAAAAATATCAGAATGCAGTGGCACAAGAGTTCCCTTCCCCAACTCCAAAACAAAACAGTGACATGTTGATTTTATGAATATAATCTGAATATAAAGTGACTTTGATATTCATTGAATTTAGATGCAGTAGATTTTAAAATATTTAAATGGTTCACAGAATTAAGCTATGAACTTCATTACTGCATAAAGTTGGATGGGCTGGAACAATTATAAAAACTAAGTGCATTATTCTGTTTTATTGAAATATATAAACTTGAAGTCCAACTTCTTTTTTTTTAGAGTTGAAAAGTGGGGGACAGGAGTTACATTAGCATCTTATTTCTATCCTTTTGAGGTCAGTAAAATGGGGACCCAAATTGTTGGGGGCAATAGGCTGACTCTGTAAACCACTTAGAGAGAACTGTAAAGCACTGTGAAGCAGTATATAAGTGCTATTGCTATTTACCTTAATAGTAACTCTTTCTGAGGAATGGCTATTATTGACAATAGGAAAGTGAGTAGACTGGCTCTATAAACCGCTTAGAGAGAGCTGGAAAGCACTGTGAAACAGTATATAAGTCTAAGTGCTATTGCTATTTACCTTAATAGTAACTCTCTCTGAGGAATGTGAGTAGGAAAGTGAGCCGAAATGTTTATACATTTATGTTCTTATGTCTAGGTTTTTTGCAACATGGAGACTGCAGGAGGAGGCTGGACAGTAATACAACACCGAGAAGATGGGAGCCTAGATTTCCAAAAAAGTTGGAAAGAATACAAAATGGTAAGATGGAGATATTGTTTTATCATTACTCTTAATTTGAAGCAAAGCTGAACACTGTGTCAATAGCTTGTGCTGGGAACATGGCCATTAAACAATAAACCAGAAGTAACCATGCAGTTCAAGCTTATTATAATCATCAAGACTCCTTTCTTGATTTGTTTTAATATGAATCATACTTCAGAAAGTTGCTTCATTTAGAAACTTTCTTCCATTCTTTCCCTGTGGATTTAGAGATGTATCTATTGCCTTTGTCCATGGTTTCCATTCTTCTTTTCCAGAGAATGTGTCACACTGAGTAATAACAAAAATGTTAAGATTGGTTGAGATCCAAATTCCCCTATGAGAAAATAGAAAACCCTTCCACCCAGGAATTGCAGGCCTCTATGCTTCACAGGAAGCCATCTACAGATCTCTTTGTGAGGAATTTTCAGAGGATGTGGGGAAAGGCAATCATTTCCTTAAAATTTCTGATGAATAACTGAAATAACATTCCATGCTATTTTGAATCCTGGTGAATTGTGAAGTGATGGCTGTACTTTGTGCACAGCTAAAATTGAATAGGGTTAGGACTAAAGGGTATATTAGATAAAGGTATGTAAGATATGAGGAAATTGGAATCATCTGGGAGTATATCTATTTATCCTAGTAGTAGTAGTCAGGCAGAGCTGATATGAATCTTCTGGAGATACTATATGAGTTTCATGGCCCAAGTGGAGTTCTGAAATTATTTAGGTTCAGGCAGGGTTTAGGTTCAAAAAGAAGAAGAGTTGAGATTCAAACTAGCACCCAGGACAGTTCCAAATGGAACTCAAGGTGGAGACTCATAGATAGATCATAGCTGGCTTAACTGCAGATGTAAGTTTATTAGAATTAATGTTTAACCATGGCTATTCCATTTTAGCTGGAAGTTGAAGGGACCACTTCTATTTTAGCAATCAATATCTCCAACAACACTGGAGAAACTGTCTCTGCACTAAAATTCTTTGACACTCTGTAGCACCATTTTTTAAATATAATCTCCTAGATATCTCACGGTATTTCTAAAAAAACCTCTCCAGCAATATAAGAGGAAAATTATAAAGCAGATGTAGTAAAAAGTAGTCTTGATTCTGCTATATTTATTGCTTTATCATAGTTCCAGCTGCTATTTGAAATCTGAATCTCAGCATAACATTAAAAAGCAATTTGTAGATTTTAGGCTTAAAAGAAGTTGTATTCTGAAGATGGCAGCTGAAACGTCTCAGATTCAGGATATGGTGACCCAATGGACTTGTTATATGGCAGTTTTATGGGGAAATAAGTGAATATGGGTTGGTGTTTGGAGTAATTCCATATTATATTTTATTATTCTGAATCTATAGTTTGATCCATAGATATAGTGAATAATATTATTTCTCAATGTTTCATCTCCTCTGCTCTTGGGTCCCCATCAATGTAATGCAAAGATAGTGACCCTCAATTTCCCAGATATGCTCTTCCAGCAAATGAAGAGGGTAAACCATGAAAGTTCACCCTGTCTCATCATAATCTTCAAGCTAAGAAGAACTATGATGAGATAGAGCTATGCTTTTGTTCTTGGGATCATTGGAGCCATTGTCCCAGCTTAGGAGTGCTACTACTTCTGAGTGCTACTACCACTGCTGGAACCACTTTCCACATCATCTTGAGTTGTTCCTTAACAATATCAGGCCATGGTATGTCTCCAGGTTCTCATACTCCTTGTTCCTGATGTTGCTGCCACTGCTACATCTATCACAGTCTTCTGATCTTTGTCTACTAGGACAATATCTGGTTGATAGACCAGTAGCTGCCTGTACATCTTAATCTGGAGTTGCATAGGATCTTAACCCTGCTATTATCCATGATTTACTTCCCTGTCTAGACTTGGGAGTGTATAGCCCATACACTATGCAGATGTTCCTGAACACAATGCCAGCTACTTGGTTGTACTATTTAGTATATTCTGTTTCTGCCTATATCTTATACCCTGCCAGTATGTATTGTATTGTCTTCCTCTTTCCTATGTTGAAGTGAAGGTAGTTATTTCCCAATTAGTGTGGTGCAGGTCTTCTGTTCATACATAATCTCTCATTAGCATTCTAGTCACTATGATATTCAGTCCTGTAGACAAATATAAAATCTGTCTGACAAATTTTGTCAGGTCTGGTCTTGTGACACAGATATTGAACATCCAAGCCAAGAAATAAATATGCAGGTAGTGCTCAATTTAGAACTATAATTGAGCCCAGAACTATGGTTGTAAATCATTCTGGCCATAAAGCAGATATTCATGTAACCAATCTGACTTTATAATTATTTTTGTGGTTGTTGGTAAGGTGAATGCCATGATCATTAAGCAAACTATCTACAATGGAAGTTTTTTTTTTTTTTACTGGGAACTGGTAAATTGCCTAGTACCCAAAACATTATTGTGTTAACATTGGGGGGGACCATCACACCTTGGAATCTGGGTCATAAGTACCTTTTGGGGGGGGGTGTTGTAACTTTGGATGATCTTCTAAGTCAATAACTACCTGTATGCATGTCACAGCAGGTGAAAACCAGAAAACCTAAGCAGATTGGAATGATCAGTCCTTGGACATGAAACCACCAGGAAAATGGTCTTAGCTGGCTAGATCAAAGCATAAGAAACAAAATCCCTGCATATCAATAGCAAACTACTTTTACATTGCTGCCAAGACAATGATATGGATTTGTCTCTGTAATTGCCTGTAGCTGAGCTCAAATCAAGTCAGTCTCTGTGTTTAACATCATCATGTAAGCTGAGATGTCTTCTGAAATGCTTCCCATATGTACAGTTGATTGAAGTATCCTAATTCTAGTATTTCCATAACTAAATCAGAATCAGCAACAGTTGAGAGCATCTGCTAACTTGGAACTCTTATCTCTAATATGAACAAAGTAACTGGTCTCATTGTATAGTAGCTGGTGGCACTTGTTCATCTATATCATATTCAAAGCAGGAATCCAATCGTAAATAGGATGGAAAACCAAGATAAAACCTTACAGTTTATTTCTTTATTAATCCAATTTATATAGCTGCCCATCTCACCCAAGGCAATTCTAGGTGGTGCACAATTATAGATACAATGTGAGAATGTAAAAATAGCAAATGCAGATAGAAAGGACCATAAAAATATGCCAAAGTGCCGGTGGCACAGTGGGTAGAATGCAGTACTGCAGGCTACTTCTGCTGACTGTTGGCTGCCTCAATTTGGCAGTTAAAATCCCACCGGGCTCAAGGTTGATTCAGCCTTCCATCCTTCTGAGGTGGGTAAAATGAGGACTCAAAATTGTTGGAGGCAATATGCTGACTCTATAAACCACTTAGAGAGAGTCTAAGTACTATTGCTATTGCTAAAAAATGGAAAATAAATAATTGAAGGAAATAGAAATGCCTCCCTCAACAATTAAATCAAAAATAGACTTAAAAATAATTAAAAAGTCACTATTAATAGCACTTAGACTTATATACTGCTTCATAGTGCTTTACAGTCCTCTCTAAGCAATTTGTAGAGTCAGCATATTACCCCAAACAATCTGGGTCCTCATTTACTGACTTCAGAAGGATAGAAGGCTGAATCTATCTTGAGGCAGTCAGGAATTTGTATTATTTAGCTGTCTTTATCTCCCTCATTTCTATTCCCTATTTGTCATATGCAGGGAGAAGAACCATGCATGACTGTAAAAATTGCAGTTCTCATCTAGGTCATGTTTCCTGTCTGGTTTACCTGAAGTCTCAATTGCCATCTTTAACAAAGGACCACCTGTATATATGAAGTCCATTAAGGGTTCAAAGAGCTATGCAATTATCGTACAACATTTCTTGCTAATACTTATTAATTATATCCATTTCTACTGTTGTTCTATATCTGTAAGTTAGCTAGTTCAACAATGAGTGCAGTAAGTGCAGATGACATTTTCAGATGTTGATATTTGGACAGATGTATAAGAATGCTCTTTTATATAAAATACCACACCCAAATTCATTGCTGAATGAATTAACAAAAGAAAATTTTCAGAAGTAGAAGGCTGGATAAGGTATTCCCGCTATTGGAAAATGTTACTTTCCTTCCTGAATTAACTTAATTGTGAGGCTTTTAGGCACTGAGTTTTGATTTAAGGAATACAGACTTAATCATTTGGATTTTATGATCTTTTGTGGAGTTTCATGTAGCTAACAAAAAATTATTGCAACACCCAGAAGTAAACCATATCTCAGAAGATATAAAATGGTTATTAAAACCTGCTTAAGCAAGCATCTTTAGTTTTATTTGATGCATTTTATTTATTTAGCATTTAGCATTTTAGCATTTTAGTTTCAACTTCTCCATTATTTGCAATGGATACCCCACCCAGTAGTTGTACTCTGCTACCCATATGAAAGAGATGTTCACAGGATATAATCAAAAAAGTGAAGATGGAGGCCTCGGTGTTATATTTGAAGCCCTGACAGTTTTTAGATGTGTTTCTCACACACAATGAAATTTTAAAAGAAAGAAGGAGAACTTTGATTGGCTATTGTGACTATTACTGTAACATTTTGGACAGTTATACACACATTCAATTATCTTCTCCTTATATAACATGCTTTTTCTTTTATTAGTTTGCATGTACCACACATGGTTTCCAGGAGAAAATTGCATCTTAAAAGCTACAGATAAATGTCATATTCCTTGATTTGTATTTCTGTGTAAGTTTATAGAAAAGTAGGTAAAGCTACATTAAAATGAACACTGAACAAAAAAGATTTATCAGAATTTTATCAGAGTGCTTACATTTCTGATAAATTTACACTTATCAGAAATGCAAGCACTATAGTTCCTTTCTACCTACATCTTACAGTCTAAAGTCACCATGTACATTTGTGTTTAATTACTTTATAGTTTGCTTTCTGCTACTACATTTATAGTTAAATATCTTTCCTTAGCCTGAGTTTGTTCTGCTTAGAGCACATAGTCCGATCTAGAATCATATTCTCCCTTTGTAAATGTTGCTGGATAACATCTGTTTTGGAAATTGCGTTGACATGTGGTTATATATCTTTTGATTGCCTGCCCTTCGGCATTTTAACTGGACCACAAAAATGTGTTTTAAATTGGCTCACATGATGGCCTCCCCTAATCAGAAAGGAAAAAAGAGTTGTAGTCTGCAAAAAAGTTAGCTGATTAATATAGTTATCCCTTTGCCATTACATTTGATATAAACTTTGTTGGATTACTGATGAAATACAAGGATCAGATTACTGCATTTAACTAGATCCAGGTCACAAGGCACCCCAAATCTGCCTCAAATATTTATATTCATATATAGAACAAATTTGTAGGTGTATGTCATTCTTTATTACTGATGCAGATATTACAGTGCCAGAAAAGCTGGGACCTCTAAGAACTTGATGGTTTATGAGGCATTTATCACTGTATTTAAATTCCATCAGACAACAGTCCTGTTTCTCAGGATATCTCCAAGAGGGATGAGGTGGGGGTGTCAAAAAATCAAAATGGTAGCTTTAATAATGTGATCAAAGCCCTGCCCCCTTTTCTTTAGATAATTATAACCTTTGTTAAAGCTTTTAAAGAGGAAGATAAAAATGACTCCAAACTAATATGAAGTAAGGAAGAAAAAAGAAAAAAAATCAGCTAAAAGCAAAAGGTATAAGAAAAAAAATAGAAAGGAAAATAGAAAAGAAAGAAAAAATGTATGTTCTTCACAGCAGTTGTTATCTACAAATATATGTTATCTCTCTCTCTCTAAAGTTACATCATATGACTCTTCTTTCTGTAGTCTATTCTGTCTAATCATCACATGTTCCCATGTTTATGCAAAAAGTCTCTTCTCTCATCAATAAATGTAAGTAAAGCTCCACCCCCTTTTTACATGACACATAAGAGGTATGGCTCTTGTGGACTGTCGTGTGGTCGTAGCTGCCATTTTGACATTTTTATTCTTACTTCCCACAAGGTAGATTGGATTGAAAGAGAGAGAATCATGGGCCCAAAGTGAGCTCCAGAATCAAGTGGAACTTAGGCCTCCAAACTCCTTATCCAGCACCCTGAAAGTTACTCCTATTTAATGTATAACAGAAGAAAATTTTTTACTCAATACATAGGAAGTTATGTTAATGTCAAATAACAGAATATAATATTAATTAATATGTATGAGTTCAAATGGAGTTTGGGCTTTTGGCTTGTTTGTTTTGTCTGTGTCTTATCTACTTGTTTATCTTGGACCTGCTTACTTTGGGGAGTGTTGCTTTCAAAGTGATAAATGTTGCCAAATCTCTGAATTATATGAATCCCTCTGCTTTTGACTGCTGAAAAAGAACAGAACAGAACAGCAAAGTTGAAAGGGACTTTGGAGGTATTCTAGGCCAATCCTCTGCTCAAGCAGAAGATCCTATACCATTTCAGACAAATGTCTGTCCTGTTTTAAGTCTATATTGTTTTTATTCTACAAGACTTTTTATGATCAATATCTCTGTGTGTTTCCATATTTTTATTTTGGGTTATTTGATTGTATGGATATTCTCCTCCTCCTCCTCTTCTATAATTTGTTCATTGAAGTAACTTTTTAAAAGTGGGATATTAATGATGAATTAAGGTATTAATGGTCTATAACATATTGTTGAAAAGCATTTATTTAATTTCCATCAAAAGCTTGGGGGTCCTCTTACTTATTCTCTGAAGATGGACTTGCCTGAGGTTGGGGTGAGAGGTTAGGACTGACTTACTAGTGGTTTCATTCAATGGTTTTGAAACATGTCCATAAGATATGCTATATCTGGTTTCAATTTCGTTTTCTTTTCCATTAAAAACCTCAGAGCTTCCTATGAACATTATCAGATGATGAAAATGAAGTAAGAGAGAAATGTGTTTAATGATACCGGAGGAATGTGGTACAAATGAGATACCCTTATACATTTTGCCAGATTTAATAAAACACTTTTATACCCTTCATAGCATTTTCCTTCCATTGTTAACATAAACTCTGCAAAATGTTAGTCTTGACACTGCTGAAATAATGCTGGATTCTTTCTGTTCTTGACCCATGTTCCTAGTTTCCTTGTTGTTTTGTGTTATTTAGATTCTTATTTTGCTAACAAGGAGATACTTGATGGGCCTAAATAATTCCTGCAAAGCTGCTGAATCAAAGAATAGCTGTTCAGTTTACTATCTGGTCCTTATCCCCTTTAGATTGGAACTTCTTTTAAAACTATCATGTTTATGTGATATTGTCTGATATTGTGCTAGCAGAGAAAAGTTTTTCTTCTTCTTTATATAGTATTTTTTGGTTGTTGTTGTTAGTTGCAGAGTCATGTCTGACCCATCGCGACCCCATGGACAACGTTCCTCCAGGCCTTCCTGTCCTCTGCCATGTTCTGGAGTCCATTTAAGCTCACGCCTACTGCTTCAGTGACTCAGTCCAGCCACTTTATTCTCTGTCGTCCACTTCTATTGCCCTCAATCTTTTCCAGCATTAGGCTCTTCTCCAGTGAGTCCTACTTTCTCATTAGTTGGTCAAAGTATTTGAGTTTCATCTTCAGGATCTGACCTTCTAAAGAGTAGTCAGGGTTGATCTCCTCTAGGACTGACCAGTTTGATCACCTTGCAGTCCAAGTGACTCGCAGGAGTCTTCTCAGCACTATAGTTCAAAGGCCTAAATTCTTTAGCGCTCAGCCTTTCTTATGGTCCAACTTTCACAGCCATACATTGCAACTGGGAAAATCACAGCCTTGACTATATGCACTTTTGTTGGCAGGGTGATGTCTCTGCTTTTAGTATGCTGTCTAGATTTGCCATAGCTTTCCACCCCAGGAGCAAGTGTCTTTTAATTGCAGTCCCATGTGCAGTGATCTTGGAGCCTAGGAAAATAAAATCTGTCACTACTTTCATTTCTTCCCCATCTATTTGCCAAGAAACGAGAGTGCCAGATGCCATGATCTTAGTTTTCTTAATGTTGAGTTTCAAGCCAACTTTTGCACTCGCCTTCTTCACCTGCATCAAGAGGCTCTTTAATTCCTTTTCACTTTCTGCCATTAGAGTGGTATCACTCTGTATGTATACAAATATTAAATTTTTCCTGTGCACTAATTCCTAAAGGCACATCCAATGAGATATCTTTCTTCCAAGACCTTTAGTGTCTTTATCAGCTTTGACATTTCAATTCAACAATCAGATACATGATATAGGTTGAAATGAGGGATCATATCATTTGCAATTGTATCCTAGGTGCTCTTAAAGTCTTTAGAACTTTAGGGAACATTCTCTTTAATTAGTCCACCTTAATGGTACCACCATTTCCAACCATTGCTAGAAGACAAGGAATACCTGAATCAGATCCCAGGTTTTATATTTTTCCTGAAAATCAGTGGAAGCTTAGATATTTCCAATTTAGGAATAAGTTATTCAGAAGAAATGTTTTTCATTCACTTTGATAAAATAAAATTTACTTTAGAGTTCTTACAAAGAAAGGCAAAATCTCATGAAATGGCTGAGAAATTAACGCAAGCATTCCAGTATCTGAAATCTTTTAAATCTTTTGAATTTGTTGCAAAGTATCAGTTATCAGTTACATAGGAATGTATTTTTATTTATGTATTTATTTATCAAATTTATATAGCTTCCCATTTCACAAATGTGAAAAAAAACATTATTTTAAAGCATCCATTTTAAAAGATTATTTTCTTTTTTAAGTCTCAGCCTATTCAATGAATTAAACTAGACAATGCTTCTCTCATATTCCCAGATATTTCTATCATTTATTTTTACATTTTTAAATAATATCCAGACCAAGAAGGTAAGCTTCAAATTGTTTCCATTAAAATCAATGAGAGTTGTTAATTGTGATTGAATTTTGTCATTAATTTCTTAGGGACTAAAGCTTGAAAATGTCCCTTTTTTTATATGTATGATATGACACATATCATGTATCATATCCTTTATGATATCATTTAATAATTGGGCAACAAATATATCTTTGAGAAAAAGATTAGTTAGGAAAAAGAATGTCTCCATCAGTAACCCTTCTGCCTCTTTATTCATAGCAATTACTTACAATTTCTGTATCTATTCAAGAGAGTAAAGAAAAATATAGTCATTGTCATGATCATGAAATTATTAAAAAAGAATTGGTGTATATATAAATCAATAATTAAAGACATCAAGAACATTCTGCACATTTGTCAAGAATTATTGCATACTTATGAAAGTTGGTTTTCCCAAAAGTGACAGTCCTCATCTGTGAATGCCCTGGCATTCAAAATTATTTTTCTGTGGCTGGAATGATGCAAGCTGTAATACATACAATAAGAACTAAGCAGATTGAGGAATGCGGTGAACATTTATTGTTGAATAAAATTTTCTGTGCTGTATGTTGCATAAATATAAGCAAGAATTATTAAACTCACTTCTTCATTTTTCCCCTAGGGTTTTGGTAGTCCGTCTGGTGAATATTGGCTGGGAAATGAATTTATCTTTGCAATAACCACCAGTCAAAAACATTACTCTCTAAGAATTGAACTAATGGATTGGGAAGGAAGTAGAGCTTATTCACAATATGATAGATTTTACATAGGAAATGAAAAACAGAATTACAGGTGAGTGCAGATGTGATTTTACTTTTATGAGAGCCTTTTGAAATATGCATGTAACTGATAAGTTGGAAACCTACTGGAATCTTGAAAGTAAAAGAATATTGAATTTTGCTTTTAGTAGTTGGAGTATAAAATCATATATGAATCTCCTTAGCCTAATTCAGACTATTCAGTATTGTTTAGTCTGATTGTCTTCATGCACATCGGGGTCAATAAATAAGATGTTCTTATAGACCTATTGGGGGCATATATCCATTTGCATGGTTTCCTTTAACAGCATATTCCTATTTTATGGCTGTAGCTTTCTGATTATATTTCTTACAGTTCAGTTTGAACCATTTTTACTTTGCAATCAGTAAATACTCAGTGTCTTATTTCTTAGAGTACCAGGCATAAGATACTCTTGTAATGTTTTCTTTGTATTAATTAAGAAATATGTTCAAATGTTGTACTTCATTAGAAAGACTATGTTATACATGTCTGTCTATATTTAGTAAATAAGAAAATAAGCGATCTTAGAGATCTTCTAGTCCAAACCTCTACTCAAAGCAGGAAAACTTATGCCATTTCAGACAAATGGTTGTCCAATCTTTTCTTAAACACTTCCAGTATTGGAGCATCCACAAATTCTGGATGCAAGTCGTTCCACTGACTAATTGTTCTAATTTCCCAGAAATAAAATGGAAGGCTTTTAATATTATACTCCCTTCTTAACTTGAGGTTTTCAATTCTTCTTGGTTTGATTTTAACTTTAATTTCTCAGTGTGTATTTAACTTCCTATTTGCCCAGTGTTTATTCTTCTCTCTCTCTCTCTTTTCTATCCTCCAACCTATCCCTTTCTCTTTTTCCATTGATATTTGAAACAATTATTGCCAAAAGGCTAGTTAGTGAAATACATTTGTCAATGCTCCTGGCATCTTCTTTCCTGCATTACAACATTTCCAGTTGTCAAATAAAGAAGAGAGAATTTGATGCAATCACAACATCTTCTTGGTTATACAGCAAGAGTTACTAATTAAAGGTGTAAGGGATGAGGTTAGACTTGGAGATAGCTGTTGTGATTCCAAAAACATCAGGAGCAGCACAAAATGTACAGATTTGGCTTACAGTTGGGCTAAACTAGCTATTTGAACTTGGCTCAAATTAATGCACGTTTTGCAAACACCAGGAAAATATTGTTGAGGTTTTTTTCATCATGAAGAAACCTCTGTGTGTATCACATAAAACCCTAGAGATGAATATTTTCCCAGGATGGAAATAGCAGATTGAGAGCATAAATAAAGGTTAAGTTATTATTTTTCATTTAAAAGATAGTGATCTAATAAAGATAGTCAGAGTTCTCAGTTCTTACTCTAGCCAAGTTCAGCATCTTATTGGACCACAGAGTTTAATAGTCGACATATCCTGGTTTATGTTTTCTTTCAGCCCAGTTATTATTTAATATAATTTCAAAGTTATGGATGACTTTCTCTCAGTGATAGGTGTGCCTCAGACAAAGATAGAAGTACTGCAGCCCTCAACCGCAAACAATATTCATGGTCTTGTTAAATTTTCTCATGATTAGGAGGAGGCAGGTCCAAGGAAAGATTTATTCACAGCTTAACACTCAAACACATTATCTTACATAGAGAAGATTTCAAGTTCTATCACATTCAAGAACACAAGTCTTTGATTAAGTGTAACTTACTGTGGTTTCAATCCACACATACCTATCGCACTAATTCAGGGTAAGCAACATTATGAATAATACAAAAAATGAAGTAAAAACTAGTGGGTTAAAGTAATTAATATTAAAAAAAATAAATGTCGAAAAGGTGCTTTTTTAAGAGGCAACTGGACTTTCTTGTTTTCCTTTGAAGATGTTTTGCTTCTCGTCCAAGTAGCTTCGGCTCTGACTAGATGGTGGGGAATGAAAGGATTAATATTCCTTGAAGACAGCTGGTCATTTGCATTCATTTAGAGAGTTGTTGAGGCCATTTGGAGGTTTCTTTGTGTCCTCAGGGTTATCTGAGTAGAGCAAATGGATTTGGAACCTTCTTGGAACTGCTGAAAGGACTGTATTGTGGAGCTCTGTGTCCTTTCACTGTTGAACACAGATGCAGGCAGTTGGGCACGAGTCTGTGTAGTTTGTATCTCAAACTGAAGTGCAAATGGTTCCTATAGTCTGCAGTTTTTCTGGAAATCCATTCTTACTCCCATATCGTTCGAAGGAGGTTCATTCCAAAGTGCATAGCAAAATGTCTATGGAGATTCTCAATCATCCAGGTCATGGTTGCCCCAAAGGTGCTTTTTCAAGAGGCAAATTGACTTTCTTGTTGTTTTAAAACATTTCACTTCAATCTCCAAGAAACAGAACTATACCTAAATCAGGATTACACAACCATAGTTGCTCTCCATATATATTCTAACCCTAGAAACTACAGTATTCTTGCTTCTATTACTCCATGTACTACTTCACATCTTGTTCACACTTTTTAAAAGTCTCATTCCCTTTTCTCATTTATTGAAGTCTACCCAATCACAAATTTCTTTATTTTCCTCAGCCTCTCAATCGATTCATTCTTCCTTCATATTTTAGCTTAACTATTTGCAACCTTTATTCATTTTCTTTATATGATCAGACCACCTTAAGGCATGCATTTTTACTGCTTATCCACTTCATTATTCAATCCTTTATTATTCAAGCTCAGCAGAGATTATACTACTTGGGACTGCTCAGAAAACAACAACTGAATGAAAAACTGCTGGTGACCTTCTACAGCTGCACCTTAAAGAGCATTATAACTTACTGCACTTCTGTATGGTTTGCCAATTACACAGTGGCAGATAAGAAAGCACTCCAGAGGGTTAACATCATTGCCCAGAAGATCATTGGTTGCCCTCTCCCCTCTTTGGAAGAGCTTTATAGCTCCTGCTGCCTTAAGAAAGTTCAAAACATTCTCAAAGATCCATCTCATCCTGGGAACCCTTTTTTTGAACTATTACCATCTGGCAGATGGTACAGAATAATAAAAACAAGGACAAATAGGCTGAAAAACAGCTTCTATCTCAGGGCAGTAGCTCTTTTGAATTCCGCTGTATAGTGCAGTGTTGGTGCAATGTCAGGGGTTTTCAGTTCAATGTGCGGAGGGTGAAGGATGTGTGTTTGTGTTTATTTTCATGGTCATGGTCATGATGTGCACTGAAGATGGTGTTTGATTTCATTGTAGGAGGTGCAATGACAATAAAGTAAACTAAATTAAACTTATTCAGCACCCACTCTTTCTTGACTGTCTCTCTATTTATTATACATGTTTCCTAACTTATTTTCATATTTCTTCCAAATTATTCAGTTCCCATGTCCATGTATCAAAAAGGCAGAAGCATGAACATTTATACAGAGGCAGAAGCATTTACATTGGTTTTGTTTATTTTCCCAAATATTTACACCTCAGAACATACTCGCTATTACCTCCCAACCACCATCTATACATCATAAAATATCTCTATCCATTTCCTCAACTTTAAATTTTTAATCAAAGTACACAGATTTCCTTTCATCTTTGTATAGCTTGTGATCATTTGGCCCATTTTCTCTCTCAAACACAATCGCCTTGGTCTTTAAAATATGTTTTCAGATCCATACATTTGTTGTATCTCACTATTTAGCATTCATTACAAATTATTTCAGTTATTTCAGTCAGAACTGAAGTATCTTTTTGGATGAGATGCAAAATGTTTTCAAAGAAAAAACAAGAAGGTCCAGTTGCCTTTTGAAAAAAGCACCCTTGGAACAACCAAAATCTAGTTTTACCCCAAGCAAATACACACCATTTCCTGCAAGTGAGAATCTCTAATCTAAAGACTACCTTACAAGCCAACAAATCAGTTTAGTGTATATGTATTCAGAATATGCACATACTTGTGTATTTATATATTCAAGTATGTACATAGCAGGAAGAGAAAGAGAGGTGGGGGGGAATGCTTATGAATAATGACAACCCTTAGCAATATGCAAATTGATTTGTCTTGGGAAACTGACTTTTAGCCAGTTAACTCTTTTCATTTTGTTAATATACTAATGGTGGTTTTCAAGGCACTACTATGAGAAATGGTTACAGGCATACGAGTAAGACTTCATTCCCCTTTCCAAACACAGAAAGGCTACATACGCTGTTGAAGAACTAAGGACAGAAGTTCAATGCCATAGATTAGACTCGGTTCTTGCTTAGATTTTATCAATGTTCATTTCTTCTCTTTGAGTTCCATCGGTTTTCAGCTGTTTTATTCCGAAGATCTTTCAGGAGGAATAGCCTATTTATGTGCAGTCAGCCATCCAAATGGATGCTTTTCCCAAGGTGATGAAATGATTGATTACAATAATGATTCTGCATCGAATTTTCTGTTTAAAAAAGACACAGCAAATGTGATTCAAACACCACCATTTCCATCAGGAACAAAAATACCCAACCAACCAAGGTTTCCAAGTTGGTTTGGGCATTTGTTCAAAGAATACTAAAATAGAAAGATGAAAACAAAACAAAACAAAATAGGGCTGTGGGAGAAAGGAATATATATAAAAGGAATACATAAAAAAGGCACTCAGTGCCTTTTTTGCACTGAAGTCTCCTCACTAGATAAAGAACACCATTCCAACATTTCATTACAATCACTGATGTAAGAATTCAGAGTCTACAAACTAATCCATTGCATCTGAAAAAATATGGAAAATCATCTTTCATACTGTTCTGTAACACCCTATAGAAAGTTTGGACTCGGCCTGGATCAGTCCCAACTGGTGATTTCAGAAGTGTTCTGTTTATTCTCTGTGCTGTTTGTATTTCTTTCTTTCTACTACGTTTTATTAGTCTAAGAATCTCTGATTTGGTGCAGTAATGCTGAACACATGTACATTAAGAAATATCCTCACTTTTCAAAACCATACAATTATGAAGTTTTTTTTCTTCTGGGAAGTCAAGATCCCAACTAAAGTATACAGAGTATCCAAGAGCTCCCCAAAATA